GAAGTCAATGACTACCTGTCTACCAGACTTAGTGTTCTACGATACGTTCGACATGCGATGGCTGAAAGCCAAGACATGCAGAAAAAATATACAGACTGAAGTAGCAGAAGAAATGCAGAGGACTTTGAGATCAAAGACCTGGTTGATTAAATGCTAAAAAATGCGGTCTCCGCTGTCTTTAAGACAAGGCTCCGTCGACGGTTTGTTGGACATTTCAAGGTAATGGCCAACAGAGGCCTTGCGTATACGCTGAACCTTCCGAGAAGGATTCAATGTTTTACGTGGGCTTGCCTAAGACGTACTGGGACTCGTGTAAATGAATGCAGAAGCGTTGGGGCCGGGGCGGCGCCCAAAGGCCCTCGGCCACCCAGAAGTTGAAACAGCAATTGTTTTTGGACACGGATTGCGACAACCTTCGCAAGGCGCTCCATCGTCGCACGAAGTGACGTATTTGTCTGCTAGACGGCTAAGAGCCGCTCCAACAGAGCGCGATAATCCTCAACGTGAGGCAGTCGGGGTACAAGGTGCTCTAGGCTATTAAGGTCTTTCGCATAGCGGTAGGTGTCTTCAGAAAGATGCTCAGCGGAATGACGATGACGACAACTTTGTTCTCTAACACTAGACGGAAATCACGAGTCGTCGGACGGCGATCGACCAAGTCGTCATCGCACGCCGCCGACTCTTGATGACAATGGTGGCATCCACTACCACGTGGGCCGCCTTGTCGGTTGACGTCGTTGACAGGGCCGAGCCCAATATTATGTGAAGTGGCGGGGATACCCAAACTCTGAGAGCTCGTGAGAGTTTGAGGTACCACTTTGGCAAGACAGCTCAGACGTCCTGGACGCTTATGATCAGAAGGATCATGATGCTCATCGTCGTTGTGCGCCTGCACTTTTTGGCAGTAGCCCGGGAAGCCAGAAGCCAGAAGCCATGAGCTGAGCCTGAGCTGCTGTGGTTTTAGACTCACTTGTGTGAACGGCAGCTCTCGAAAGCGTGGATTATTACATGTGTCGAAGGGCGAAAATACGCAGGAGTCGGCGTTGCACCTTGAGTTTGGCAAAGTTAAATCTAAGATGGTGCTGTACGCGCACGTCTACTTTCTTGTGATTTCGCTATAAGGTAGACCGCGAGAAAGTTTCCGGTGTATTGGTATTTATCGCTCAGAGAGCTCCTCATCATTTGCAGCGGCTTCGCCAGGGGCCACAGGAATAGTCCATATTCCGGTTATAGAAGCGCCACATTTTTGAGCTCGAAGTCGAGCGTAGTACTGATCCATTGAGATCTCTTGTGGGACCAAAACGCGAGCTCGAAGAGCGTTTCGCTGATCAAAGCAGCTAGATTTCCATGATGCTTTGATACACTACAGCACCTTGTTTTTTATGGGCATGAAGATCCCATTAAATGCTCAGCTCGCACTTCATAGATTTAGCGACTAATACCTAAAGGCAAAATGTTGGTTACGGATGGTAAGAGCGGGTTGGCAATCGTTCCTTTTTAAATGCTATATACAAAGCGAAAGATCTGATTTATTTGATGTCCTACATTGTATTTAAATTGTCAAATGCAATGTTATCTTTCGTAGTCTAGTCATACATTCTCCTAAGCGCTTTCTCTTTCTGTAACTATGAACAAGGCATCGAGATCATCTATCTACATGCAAATTATCTAAGTGCACGTGCAGTAGACAACAATCTAATCGAAGGGTTGACTGGACGCAATCTTTCCCAGATAGAAGTGCTGAATATCTAAATGGGAGTATGTTCTTTTTGTATATGTATAGGATCCTTTTATGTTTTTGTCCCTTTTTCCCGGATACATTTCTCTTGATTTCAGTATGAACGAGTCTCGATAAGGGAATCAGCGAAGAACAAAAACAGTATCTATCATGTACAAAGGCCTACCTTTGCTACTATGAACCTTTTTTGATTGAAAAAAGAAGAATCATTGTTTTTAGTTATCGCTCGAGGACATAAACACCGCATACTTTTGACACTTTGATGGATGGATCTAATAGTTTTAAGGCCAGTACGACACTAAATGCTACACGCTCGTTTAACAAAGACCCTCACTTTAAGAAGCTGATAGCATACATTTATTTTCTGAAAAGCACGATTCCGATCAGGTTTTTGAGCCGTCAGAAGCTCAATGTGTCCATCTTCCACGAATATCGTAAACATATTTTTTCGTGAATCATCGTGTATATTTATATGTTTCATAGATACTCAACGACTCTTTAATATGATGCACTAAAAAGGGTCAAGCGTATCAAAACGCGCACGTCTCAACCGTACATTTAAGATTGATGTTTTATTCAAATTTTCTTCACCTGAAAATTTCATTTTTGGAGATATCCCGAGAAACGTTTGTATTCACTTTTAAGTCCCTCCATGCGTGCCCCTAGCGTGTACATACTATTGACCACGACGGCACTTTTAGTGACTCGCG